GTGTGTATTGTCCCTCAGGTGTCTTTTGTTCCTCCTCTTAGTCGTGGTTGTGCTTTACTTTGAAGTCACTCTGTCCCCTTCATGCAGAACCTGAAACCTCAAAAGAGGGCAAGAACAAAGTCCACGATTCTTCGTCTTTGTGTGGAAACATGAAGCATTTGCTCCTCCTCCTAAAAACGTGAACGTTGTTAAGGCGACTCGTGAAAGCTTGTAAAATTTCTGGAAAAGTTTCTGTGTGAAGTCTAGTGAGCTGACGTGAGAACTCAGCAGGAACTACTGGTGAAAATTTGCCAAAAGCCAGTGAGCATGGGTGATGACATTTTTACCATGTGGTGATATCATGAGGTCTCAGTTGCTTTGACTGTCATCATGTTGTTAACACTGTGGCTTCTGCAGAGGGCTTTTGATTGTGCTTTTTTGTCCTTTTGGAGATTTCTGGGTCAGAGCCTGGCATGCAGATTCTGGATCATGTGCAGAAAGTTTTAAGTTCGATTGAAGTGTTAAAGGGATATTCCGGCGTAAAATAAATTAAGGGTCAAACACACCGTAACACCGAGTTAGACACCCTCTTGAAAGATGAATGTTGCTGACCGCTTGCTTCTCTAGTTATACCAACTTTAGTAACGACCATAGATAGCAATACACAGCGGTCTGAGGAGCCATAAACAAACCTCAACCAAAACGCCACTCTATAACCACAAATAATGCTCAGAACAGCACCTAACTTCATCAACAGTACATAAAGGGTCCCAGCCAGAGTACTAGAAACCAAACATCTTTAACTTTGCCTAATTTCCTTAGCATAGAGACTTAAGACAACTTACCTATTCTCTTCCAGCAGCCGCTTGTTTGTAGCGAGACCTGGACCAGTCCATTACGGACAACAGCGGGGTGATGCAGCTCAAGGAAGAACATTTATGATCATTTCTTTATGGAAATGCAATCAGACCGAGATGCTAAGGCAGAAGAACTACCGTGTCTGCAGTTCAAAATGATTAATATGGTGATTATTACTTCAAGGAAAGGATAACGAAATGATCAAAAATGTTCTTCCTTGAGCTGCGTCACCCTGCTGTAGTCTGTAATGGAGTTAAAGTTAAAAATATGTTTGGTTTCTAGTGCTATGGCTGGGACCCTATATGTACTGTTGATGAAGTTAGGTGCTGTTCTGAACATTATTTGTGGCTATAGAGTGGCGTGTTGGTTGAGGTTTGTTTATGGCTCTCCAGACTGCTGTGTATTGCTATCTTGCGGTCTTTACTAAAGTTGGTATAACTAGAGAAGCAAGTGGACGGCAACATTCATCTCTCAACAGAGTGTCTCACTTGGTGTTACAGTATGTTTGACCCTAAATTAATTTTACAACGGAATATCCCTTTAACATGAAAGATGCTTTATCTAGATATGTTATTTTGATTATGAGATGGTGGATTGAGTATGACTTAAGCTGGACTAGTGTATTTACAAGTTTTATTTAAAAGTCCAGTTTCAGTTGGAACTTGTACTGTGCATACATTTATAAATCCAAATGTTAAAAAAGTACATCTTGCACCTTTGAAGGGATATGTATTCATTTTTTAAGGTGAGGTTTTGTGATGCATTTGTCAATAGTAGGTGTGTTACCCACAGGAACCTACGTGTAAAGACAGCAGCCACAGAACAGTCTGTCTCTGCTCCTTTAAGGATCAGCTCCATGCCTCCTCATTCATCAGAACTCACTGACTGCATTTGTAGAGCACAGCAGATAAGATATGTACATGCCACATCTTACAATAGTGCAAGAAAGAATCTGTGAATATCCCAAATAAAGGGTAGACTCACACTGACATTAGAGTTTGGGTTTAGAGTTTTTAAAATCTGTTGAATTTCGTGGTAGGTCTAACCGCGTCTGCAGGAGTTGATCGCCTCGCTTCTGTGCCAAATCTCTGGTTGCTTTCTCAACAAAAGGCCCCCCGAGCTCACGAGGATCCCCCAGTTACAGTTGACAAGTACCTCATACAACCCTAATTCACAAAGTGCTATCCCTTCAAACCATCCCTCTAATTCAGACTTTAATTCCAGTGTCTGCTGTAAGGAACAACATTTATAGAAACAATATTATGTGTTCTTTTAAGTAGACATTTGCTGCTTATATATGACCCTGCTCTCCTGGCTGTCCTCTATCACTGTGTTCCAGCGTGCTCCAACTTGGCAGGAGCCGGCTGAATTCATAAGAAAAACTCGGAGACTAATACTTTTTCAGAAAAAAAGGTCGGGTTAGACAAACATGTAGTAACTTTGTCCAAACAGACGCGCAGCCATTTCCTCATAGTTATATTTACTGATAGTTTTCTCTCACAGGGGTCCTTGCATGTGGGATGAAGTTTTGTGGAAGACTATTCATCAAAAATACGGCTGCCTATAAATTGTGATATAATTACAAAAGGTGCCGGGAGTATTCATGAACTTTGAGCAAATATAAAGTTAATAATCTCACAATACTTGAACTCAAACATTCTGCTCGCACTCACAGAGTTACACGAACACAGCGCAAAGACAAACACGGTGTGTACACAGAGCAGAGGGGGCAAACCGTGGCTGTGTCGCTCCAACCAAACCCAGCACACATAGTTTCCCGAACAGGTTATCTCGTGCCCGGGAAGTGTGGAAATTCACTATTAGGATTAGAAAACAGACCCCCACACACACACAAACACACAGGCAGGTATATCATATATGGAGGTGTCTGAGAGATGAGATAAGGGGCTTAGATGAAGGGGGCAGGGTTGTCTCTGGTGAAACTCTGACTGACATGGCAGCTCCGGGGTAATCCTGCTAATCCTCTGCTTGCTCAGGGGTGCAGAGAGGCTGGGGCCCTTTGACCCTGCATCAAGAGAAGGTGCCAACACACACTCCCACACCCAACTTTGAGTGTCATTTGAGAATTCGTGCTCACACGTCTTCATCGGGGACTGAAACTCGTAGTGGCTGCACCCTCGGTGAATGATTAACTTTTATGGAGCCCTGACCTCTTCTGATAACATTTGTTTATGTAGGACAGTGTGTTCACCTTGTTTGGAGTGATTATAGCAGCAATTAGAACTGATTATGACGCCAATTTACTCTGACTCACTGGACCATATGACCTGCAGTAACGGGAAGAGTGTCAAGCTGTTAAAAAACAGCTGATCCATGACACAATATTGTTCTATGGTGTCACGTCTTTGACTGCGGGCAGATGACTTCTGTTTACAACTCATAAGACAAGAACAGCAAGTGGGGAGAGTTAACTAATAGTTGTTCTACAAACTTTACTGGATACGACTTTTAAAAGGATATTCTGGCGTAAAATAAATTAAGGGTCAAACACACCATAACACCGAGTTAGACACCCCCTTGAGAGATAAATGTTGCCGACCACTTGCTTCTCTAGTTATACCGCACGATAGCAATACACAGCGGTCTGAGGAGCCATAAACAAACCTCAACCAAAACGCCACTCTATAGCCACAAATAATGCTCAGAACAGCACCTAACTTCATCAACAGTACATATAGGGTCCCAGCCATAGCACTAGCCACCAAACATCTTTTTATCTTTGCCTTATTTAGCAAAAAGACTAAACACAACTCACCTACTCTCTTCCAGCAGCCGCTTGTTTGTAGTGAGACCTCAGGCCAGTCCATTAAGGACTACAGCGGGGTGACGCAGCTCAAGGAAGAACATTTATGATCATTTCTTTATCATTTCCTTTAAGTAAGAAACACCATATTAATCATTTTGCACTGCAGACATGGTAGTTCTTCTGCCTTATTGTCTTGGTTTAATTGTATTTCCATAAAGAAATGATCATAAATGTTCTTCCATGATTGATTGATTGATATGTCAGAGTGAGGGGGCGGCAGCAGGGGATAAGCCTTGTTTCAAGGGCATACTGGTAGAGCCCTGGATGTAAAGCAGCACCTCCCCAGTACCCACTTCAAGACCTTCATCTGTTCTGGGACATGAATCAGCGCCTCTTTGGTGGCCAAACCCTGGTATAGAAAAATACAACATGTATCTTTTATGTCTCATTAGGGAAATATAGTCTTATTTTGTACAACTAGCTTGGTTTCAAATAATAAAAAAAGGATTTCACTTCACATGTAGTTATGTTTTTGATGTTTATATCATCATAAGTCAAGTGTATTTGTTCTGTGTCAACCTCCATTAGGTGTTTTATTGTTATAAAGCCTATAAAATCTTATGAGTGGTGGTTTATTCCGGCTTTTGGATGGTAGGTAATTTGCCCTCCTCAATTCCTGTAAACTGCCTGAGTCAAGTTAGCAGAAGAGAGACTCAAAAGGACAGGAAAGTGAGTGACTTTCAAAATAAAAGTACAGATCAGCAACACACTTTTCAATTGTTTCGAGTGCAAATAAGTTAGAGAAATGCAGCTTTAGAAATACATAGATACATTTATAACTGTCTGCAGGATGTGATAAAATATTGAATTGTATAAAAAGCAGCCAAGCTCAATAAACCAAATATTTCTGTAATGTGAAAACGTGATTTTTTTGTCATTGCTAAGGGTTAGACATGATTTCACAGTCCCTAATGGCAAATAGAAATATATTTGTAAAATAACAGGTTTAAAACAGATGACTATTTGGCTTTACATGAAAACTGTTAGGAATAACAGTGGCTATAGTAACAGATATTACAAAAATAATAGTACAGTAATAGTCGCAGTACTGTTAAGGTAGGTAAAAAAGAGGAAACATGAAAGTAGAAAATATACAAAAAGCCCAAAATGAAACCACAGTAAGATCAATAAGAAAATTAAATATGTTTTTCTGAAAACTGGGCTATAAAAACACTATTTTCCAAACAGAAGGGGGATCATGTTCGCACAGTTTTCAAATCTAACTTTTTGTGTCTCTCTTTAGTTTATTCTGAAAGGCTTTACCGGAACAAGCCTTTGCTGTAATCTGTGGAGCTCTTGTCGATTGTAGATAACTTGGTGGTGGTGCTGTGGGAGCGCTCACACACTCAGAACAAGTGATGGGAGACAAACTCCGTCCCTGACGCGCCTGACGCTCACTAACCGATATTTTTATTGATTTTTTTCTTTTTATTTCAGATTTTTTCGCCTCATTTAACAGAAAAAAAAAACCTTCATTCTCTATTTTCGAGCACTTTCGGGTTCCTGCTGGAGGTGAAGGTCCGCTGTGCAGTTAGGCAGCAGTTTCTATTTTGGCTGTTTTTCTGTTTTCTTTTTTTTTGTGGAAGGATTTGAGTCATGGCAGAGGAGTGATGCGCCTGTGCCAAGATGCCTCTTAACCGGGATGTAACTTTTCCACTGCGGTCCTATGGAATATAGTCCGATCCTACACAGTCTACATGTTGTGCCATCATCCCACGTGAAAAACAAACTCTTCGTCTTCTGCATAATGCTGACTCTTTGGGTGTATATGATTTATTGTTGTGTTGGCTACTGCTCCACGATGCCAAACGGGGCGTACGGCGCGGGGAGCAGACACGAGAATGACGCAGAAGTTGACAATCAGGGGTCCTCACTCGGGGCGTCGAGGGACTTACTGAATAACGAGAACGATGTGGACAGCAGAGGAGAGGACTGGGATGAAATGAAAGGCGAGGCGAAGGCGTTGGATGATAATGCCATGTCAGGTTTCTTCAATGAGTCGGAAAGTAAAAAGTTGCCCCAGGCGATCATCATCGGGGTGAAGAAAGGAGGGACCCGGGCGCTGCTGGAGTTTCTGCGCCTGCATCCGGACGTCAGAGCGGTGGGAGCGGAGCCGCACTTCTTCGACCGCAACTACGACAAGGGGCTGGAGTGGTACAGGTATCAGCCTCATTTATTATCATGAAACATGACTCCAAAGGTGGGGAAAAAACTGACCTCAGATATGCATCATTTTTACGCGTAAAGGCGACTTGGTGCCTTGCTCAAAGACATCTCATCTCTTCAGTGTGGCTAAATCCAGACTAAAACGCCTCATTTTAAACAACATCAACATATAAAACCATCAGTAAGACATGTCAGCGCTTAAAAAGTTACTCCTAATACAACATGTGTGTGATTCCCTGAACAAACAACTTTGTTTACACTGTAAACAGAGACTCTGCCCTGTCAAAGTTTACTCTTATTATATAACAGCAACTAAATAAGCCCTGTGTTATACTTTTTAAACACCACCAGAGGGGTTATAATCACCTGTAAAATCAAAGAATCCCTGGAGGTTATCATGTGTTCAAGCTGAGAGGAATCCGACTATCAAAAGAGAGGAAAAAAACAACAACGATTCAATGCAGCGCATCATATGACTGTGCTGGTAGATTATGTCTGAATGGTGGATTACGCTTTTGAAGTGAAGTTTGGCTCACGCCGAGACGTTTGATTCTTTTATTTCAGTTATTCTTGCAAAGAAAAGGGGTTTTTAATCCCTCTGTGTAAGCTCTCCATTAAACCGGAGACCAAGTTTGTGCTCACTTTGATGTGGATTTTCTCGATGATTGATTTTTTTTCTCACAAGTTTAATCTATGCTCAAAGCCTGGAGCTTTAAAAGCAACAAAACATGAGTGAATTACCTGGTATACATTATACCGATTGAATTGACAGTGTGCAGTTGTGATTTATGCACCTTGCCTCATAATAAGAGCAGGTGCAATCTAACTCAACAGTCTCACAGACTTGTACTTTTCAGGCCCAACTTCTCAGTCGTAATAATTTACAAACCTACGGATCGATTTTCCCTCCTTGTTTGCCTGACCTTCACTCCGACTTCGCAGAATTCTTCCCCGTCTGTCCTTGGATCCAGACTCATGAAGGTTTTCTAACAGAGAGGGGGGGCAGCAGCAGGTAGAGGAAGACGACTTGAATTCTTGATGCACTTCAAAGAAACGGCTCCTCGCTTTACGGGTTCGGAGTCAGCAAGTTACATCATGCCGTCATCCTTGAACAGCCAGTGTTGTGCTCTGAGATTATAAATTCTGGGGTATCGATTCAGAGGCGGCAATTTGTTTTGATCTTCAGTCCAAATAGACTTCAATGTCAGAGGCAGAGATCACGATCCTAAGGCTGCTTTAAGGCTGCGTAATCTAACATTTTTATTGTATTCTCTGCCATGGCAACAACTGTCCTTGCGCCGTACATCATTTCTCAGTATGCAACCTCTGTACCAATGAGCCAGCAGCGAAATTACACAAACTCTTCGTGGAAATAAACAACTATCCCACTTTCTTCTTGGAAATTATTGATCGTCTGTGTTCCCCAAAAACCCTCTCCGGAAATGCTCCGCCTGTCAGAGCTTTACATCAGAGCAAGCTCATTGTTAATAGGAGATAATAAGAGATGCTGCTGTTTCAAGTGTCCATCTGACTGAGCCGAGGGATTAACAGGCAATGTCAAAGGATGGAGACACAGTTTCAAAGCTGGCTCCATAGAGATACAATAGGGGAAGCCAAGCATTGTTCAAAGGACTTCTCGCTTAAGCTCCGTTAAGAATTTCCGGACAGGTTTGGAGCATTTTTCAACGTATCAGCTTGTGAAGAGCGGCCTCTTGTCTGTCTCGACAGACTGAGCGACAAGAACAAACTGAAATGGAGATTTTTTTAAACTCATTTAGAGAGCATCGCTGCTGTTTTCCTGCGACTGGTGAAGAAGGAAGAAGACGTTCTCATTAAAGATGGATAATTGAAACGTTATGGAGCCAAAGCGGAGGGATCTGAGTGAGACCTGACAGCTACCTCTGCGGAGAGGTGCCACACTCGCAGTTGGTGTGGGAAATGTGTGTCATCTTGAAACATAATGAAGGCTTCTTTTTCCCAAAGAGGTGATCTGGCTAATTAAAACAGCTTGGCTTGAGTTGTCACAGCGAGAGCTCTGTACCACAGGTTGACCTCTTACAGGAGGGCACCATGACATCGAGTCGGTGCTTAATGATCATTTAGCAGCGCTCTGAACATCTCTTGTCTGGTTTTTTGTGGTTTTTCCAAGACTGTGCGTACTTGCCAACTTAATCAATCTGTCCTTCTAAGATTTCTGGCAGCTTTTTCTGTCATCATTACAGCCTAAGATGTCTGGTTTTGCCACTTCCTTGAAAAAGATGCGACGCAAGGTGCATTTTTAAGGCACCTTACTCACTGATACTTGGTGCAAACACTTGTATAAAGCAATCAAAACAAGCTGTGTGTTATCTCACATCACTTTGGATCAGTTTGAGTGAAACAAAACCCTTAAACTGCCTTTAATTTGGTCTCTCACTGCAGATATGCACTGCCATTCGATCTGTATGCACAGGGGGGATCTGGACATTATTTCCTAGTAAACCCTGTTAAAGTTGGAACTGTGGCAGCACAAAAACTTGCAGTTTATCAAGTGTCCACTCCAAAGCTGGCTCTGGAAGGTAGAGAAACCAAAATAGAGTCAGGTTAAGAATTTGAGGACTCAGCCTTAGTTTATGCAGCTCATTTCTCCCCTGCTGCACACAGGGACAAGGACAGTCTAGTTGAAGGGCTTGACTTAACTGTGCATGTAAATGTACCAAGTGTAGCTGATCTCAAGTCCACGTATTTGCCGTTTTTTACTTAAGCTGATCTTTAGACTTAGTAACCCTTCTTCAGAAACCAATAAGTGACGTCACGGATGTTTTGACATGAAAATCTTTCTAAAAAATACAAGAATTTTCCGGTTGAGCAGCAAACATAAACATTTGTCCAAAATGCCACCATGATGGAGCCTTGGACGTATGATGTGGGTAGGGAACAGTGCGATGAAAGTAAAGAGTCATTCTTCGCCCATCGCTTGGTGTCAAGTGATGAACGTTACATATTGTAAAGTCACTTTTTATTGGTGTAACATTATCTTCTCTCACACACTGATATTGCAATGCATTATATTTTGCAGATAATGATCCAAATACTCCTAAAGCCGGAGGGATTTGTTGGCTATTGTCTGATGGCGCTTTATGCTTATGGTCAGGGATTTATGTACAAATATTGTTGTGTATGTTGAGGGTGAAGGGGGCTCTGCAGAGAAACTTTGGTGACCACCGCTTTAAGGATAAATAAAAATATATAAGGTTAAAGAAGGAGAGCAAAGGTATCTGCATGTAGGACTGACAGAAATGCAAAAATGTCATAGTCCCTCCCGAGACAAGTCCCCCCCTCTTGCTAACCCTCTTTGTCACACAGGAAAGACTCCACGCTGTGAGGGATACAAGTGAAAGAGCATCTTTGTAAACTTTTAGGGACACTGCTCCTAGAAATTTCCAGAGAAATTCTCATTATTTGGTGTAAACGGTTGTTAAGAGAGGAGGGATAACTATCTCATTGCAGGAACGGTCTGACTTAACTTTTGTTACAGAGCCTCTGGTTGGTTTAAAGTTTGGAGCACAGTCTGTGATTGGTCAACAGGCATAACAAAGTGCATTAGGAAGTGAGTAACGCAGAATTTCATCGGTATTGAGGACGGTTAACCATGCCCCTGTGATGTTTGAACAGCACTGCACACTCTTAAGGGTCTTTGTTTAGATTAAAGAAGTGTTTTTGGTGATGTAAATGTTGATACATGTGCGGATAAAAGGTGGATAGGTCAAGAAAAAGTTGCAATGATTGGCTAAAACTGCAAAGTCTCAAAGAACTGTGCTGAGATTAGCTGAATATGTGTGAGTCGCAGCCACACGGCCTCGCTGCAGGAGCTGATAATTGAGCATTTTTATATCACGTCTGGCCTGGTCAGACTTTTCTAACCTGCAGTCTGATGTCCTGTTTGAAGTCTTTAAGATAAGCTAAGAGCTCCAAGCCTGATGAGGACGTCTGCCTGATTTGTTTTCCCATATGTTTCACTCCAATACCCCCAGACTATGATGGTTTGTGGGAGCTCGGGGCGAGGAGCGGTCCACTGGGGTGGGCTTATCTGCTCCTGTGGTGGTATTGAGTTGTGCCCACAGCATTTATCTGCTGTGATTGGTGTGTCCATGCTGCTGGAGGTCTGCTGTCGGAGGCCCACATTGAGAAGAGGCCCCCCGTGCACAGCAGGACCCTAACCACAATGCAGCACATTTTGGGACAGGAAGAGAGGAGGAGGAGGAGGATTGTGCATGCTTGGACACAGACAACTCCTATAGGCCTGCTTTTTTTTAATAACATCCCAACTTCCTCATATACGTCTTATTTTGGCGGGTTAACTCTTAACGTGATGCACAAATCAAGGCAGTACATGTGAATTAATTGCCGTTTTCCTCTTAAGGTTCCATATATAGGACAATAAGTGTCCGTCTTATAACTCACTGAGGGTGTCAGAGAAGACGGTCTAATCCTCCTCAGAGCCCCAGGGAGGCTTACTGCAGGCCAGTGGCAGATAGAGGGCAGTAAATTTAAAGTGAGTCTTTAGAAAGCGCAACAGAATTATAGAGCTCAATGAAAGGGGATGCTGGAGAACCCCTGAGGTCTGCATTAACCCTGACAATAAAGAAGCAGACAATTAGTGTGAAACATGTTTTCTCTGCCTTCACTTTGTATGCAAATGTGCTCAGAAGGGTGAAAGTGCCCTTTGACGAAGCCCAGCAGGGGGTTCATCAGAAAGAGCATTCATTGGAACAGGCCCAAGAAAAGACTCAAACACTACACTTAAGCTTTTTAGCCCGAAAGTTGACTTTCAGAGATCTGTGCGTGGAAAGTTGTGTTTCCCAGGAGTAGGTTCAGATGAGTCCACCGGTGGCGTTTTGCTTACTCGACACTTTCAGCTCTTTTGCAAAGGACACGGGGGGATTGGTGAAAGTGAGAAAGCTCTCGGTATAGGTATCCTCGTGCTTTAACTGATGCGTCAGCACTCTGACAGGAAAAGGAGGGAAGACTGCGTTGATAATGAGATGCTTCAAATACAAAAAAAAAAAAAAAATCACATTTACTCTCTGTTGTTTCAAACATTCCTAAAATATTTCCAGGAACCACACTACCTTGCACTTTAAAACTTAAGGTGCTGCGAAAAGAAACCAGTTCAGATCACATTTTCTCCTTCCTTATCATTGAAATCATCCCGTTTTTACAAGGATCAATCCACTTAAATGCCAATACTGGTAATGTGCACCTCCCCTCCTCTTATTCTGGAGATTGAGGATTTAATTTGCTGCAACAACCCCCTGGGCTTTAGCTTGAAGCAATTTGTCAAACCACAGCACTTATTACAGCACTTTAGAAACACCGAAAACAAAACAAGTTCACTCCATTATATCCCCTCGAGTTGCTGACTTCCTCATCTCTGCCTTTTGTTGTATCTTCAGAGAAAATGTGTTGTTTCCTGCCTCTGTCTTTCCCTCCTCAGCTGAGACTCCCTGACAGCAAGTCAGAGCAGCTATAGAAAGCACCAATCTGGCCCAGCCATCTTTGTTTGGCTTCTTTGAAGTCGTGTTTGCTTTTGCAGATGCTCTTAGACCAGCATCGGTCTGTGGGGAATTATCTAATTGTAGCAACCACCACGTGCATGGGAGACATACATTACATGCAGAGAGCGGGTTTTCTTATCTCTTTACACGTGAAGCTTGACATCATTAAAGGAGTGTGTTTTGATAGAGGTCAGGATAAACACATTATTGAGGTGGTAATGCATAAAAAAACTCTAGGATGTGCATTTTTTATTTTTAAATTATCTTGAATATTCAAAATCTGGGGTTTACTTTACCCACAATCCCCCTGTGCAAACCGCTATAGGTGTGTTGTCCAAGTAGCTGTTTAAGTAGCTGCATTATACTGAGATGAGGAGCTGTGGAAAGTTTATTTTCTCTAACTTCATATTTATTTGGTTTGTTTCCCAACAAATTCACGTCCTGCAAAAACGTTATAAGTTGAACTGACCACAAACCCCGCCTCCGGGGGGCCACATAGCCAATCATAAGCCCCCTTTGAATCTGAATTCTTCTGCAGCTCTGCCAAAAAAGCTATCCCATTTATGCAATACTATTTGGCTACACGAGAGGTTCAATCTGTGAACAACTCTGCAATGAGTAACAAAGGCAGAATGATAGGTGGCAGTACGGTTTGAGCAAACAGGGTGGAACAGCACTGTGTGTGTGTGTGTGTGCATGTCTGACTGTGTTTATTATGTAGAGCTCCTGCTGTATGTTTACAGCCTGTTTTTCTCATTACACTGCAATGCTGTAATGCTATATGACATCACACAGTTGGACACTAATATTATGCTGTTGTAGAGTTCGAGTTCGCAAAGAAGCTGTGGAGGAACTTTGTTTCTGCGCTGTTGCTGAAACGCAATGTGTAAGGGGCTGGTGATGCTGTTTTGACACTATTACTCCACTCTTACTTTGCAAGAATAATAATTTTGTGCCACAATTTTTTTGTTTTCTATCATTTTCTACTTTTTTACTTCGCTTTCTAAAGGGCTTTGGATTGCATTTGTGCGGTAATTTACATTTACAAAGACGTAAAAAGTCCAGCCGTCGACGAGCAATGTAAAAGGAGCTGCAATGTAAGATTATTTGATGGCCATATGCACCTCAGGCTTCCCCCTGGAGACACTCCTGCAAAAGATGCAAACTCAGCTGACATCGCTTGCAGAACCACCTGCACAAAAAAACCTGAGTGAAGGGTGTATATATACAGTATATATATTTTTAACAGTTTTAATTCTATTTTAATAAACATAATTTTGATCTGCTAATCTGTGGAGCTACCCTTAAAATTATTTGCTGTTATATCTTCACTCTTTAGATTTATTCCTTATTTCTGGAACAAAAACTACCAGAGAAACATTTTCTAACTCTTCAAGTAACCCGTATTTTGCACTTTTTGTGTCACACAATTGACTATTCTTGCCAAGCTGTCATTCAAAACAAGAGCCAGACAAAAACTGCCTATTCACAGTCTAGCACACGACACCGAGAGATATGTTATTGAGTCTAATGAAACTACTTGCAGTGTTTCTATCTCTGACAATAGTTTCATCATGTGTAAACGATCCTGATGACGTCTCTGAAATACTGCAGAACAATCCAGCGCCACTAGTTAAGTCTTGTCAATTTACATTTTTCAAGCAGCACCTCCCTGATATAAAAAGCGCTCGCTGCTTCTATAAACAACCCAACTGTCAGAGTGGTTATGTGTTAATGCAAGGCTGACAGTTGTGTGAGGGAAGCCAGAATGGCTCACACACTGTTCCCCCCCTCCTCCTCCTCTTTTCAAACTGGGACCGTCTCCATCAGACAGCCAGGTGGCCTTGAGTTCTGCACACTGACAGTAATAACAGAGGATGGGCCGTATTCTGCACTATCATCGCTGCCCGGGAATGCTGCTGAGATACTGAATCCTGCGCAACGCCTTCATGAAAGGTCCCGAGTGCAAAGTAATGACGATGACTTTCACACGTTTGATAAGGAGAGCTGCGATGACCGAAGAATGACTCGTCTAAAGATACTTTCCTTTTTGATTTCTGTCTGGAACTCATCTCGAGGTGTATCTGTCTGATTATTACAAGTGGCTGCATACCACCACCTCTCATCCCATCCTTGAGTGCAGAAACGATTCCCACAGCAGCTCACCCCTCTTAGAGCCACAGCGTAAGATAAGAAGCCATCATGACATTAGATAATACTGCAGCTACTTTTTTTTTCTGGAACAGCCTTTTGTCAGTGCGGTTAGAGAAGTTGAAATATAGATGCAAATTAGAGTCAGTCAAGCATTATACCGCGGGATACCAAAAAAAAAGTAATCCTTATTGGAGTTTTCTCAACCGTTCTTGCCTCTTTTTACCATGAACTTAAAGCTGAGGGCATCATCCGCGCAGCCACACACGACCACGTTGTAAATTCCTACCTTTGAACCCGCTGCCTGATAACAGCGAGTGTAAACACGGCACCAGATTTCAAACGCCGTCTCGCCAGTAGCCCGTTTAATGGACACGCCTGACTGGCCGGCAGACAAAACACAAAAAAGAAAATTACACAACACTCCACTCCTGGATTAATATCTGTATGTTGGTTGGAGCAGAGGTGATGCTACTGCTGCTTAAAACTTGCAGACGCGGTGCTTCAAACTTCACTGGGCTTTTGGGTCAGAGGGGTCGAGCCGTGCAGTCTCAAACCTCCAGCAGTGCACCTGATTCCATCTAATCCTCTCTTTACTCCTTCCACTCCTGCCTCTCTTTCTTTATCTCATTCACAAACAGTCTTCCTCTCCGTTATCTCCTCAACCCCGCCGCTCTCAGGCGAGTTTAAAAGGACAGGTTAGAGGGCAGAGGATGTTTATGTGCCCGCGCCGCCCTTTTTCCTTACTACAGGTTTAATTTTAGTTCACCAATTAGAGAGCAGAAACTCTTTAAAGCTTCGACTGCTTACTTTTTGACTTTGAAAATGCATTACCAGCCCACTCAGATGTTACACCTTCTGAGAAAAAAGCTGTTTTTAAGCTTCATAAACTTCAAGTGACACATGCAAAATTCATTAAGGGGCAAAAAGTCAACCCGCCGCGGCTCGACTCTAGACGGAGGACTACTTTTTTGTTGTCTTGAAGCTCAATGATGACGCCTTTGCACGGCTGATTGATAGATGGGGATGCGCTGAAACCTATTGGTTCCAGGCGACATTGTTTATTAAGCAGAACAAATTGTGAAAGCTTGCTACATCTGCCCCCCTAGGGCTACACTCTCACTCCCCACTCAGTCAGAGATGTTCTCCCCTGCTCTGTCGCTGCTAGGATTTGAATAATGCATGTTCTTCTTACACAGATTGTTTTGCTCGGGGACTAAGTGGAAAGTTTGATTGGTAGTAAGTTTTTGCGTCCCTTGAGGCCTCCGGGAAAGGCCTACCGCGCTGCGCTTCTACGAATCCAAGAGATGCGGCGTATAATTGCAGAGGCTTCTGATAGAGTTGTTTGTGTCTCTCGTACCTATTACCTTGATTAGGTTTGAGGGTTATTGTTTTTTTTACCATCATGTACAATAGAGGAGAAAAAAAGAAGAGTCAATGTGAAAGACCTAAGGCCTCCATAAAAAAAGCAAACAGGAGCAGGTGACATTAGTGAATGAAACTGCAGAAGAAAACGAAAACCCCTTGTGTGTCTGTGTGGCACTAATTAGGTATTGGTGATGCCTACAATTCCCATAATCACTGTTGCTTTTTCCCAGAGCTCAGTGCAGGGAAATCCTGCAGACCATTTTTCTGCTCATTTCCACCACATAAATTCGTGAAATGAAAGCTGCAGGGTTTTGGCGAGGAGTATCGCGGCTCTTAGTGCGTGCACCAACAGATGGTTGAAAATTATTGTAATCACTTTAATGACACGACTCCTCCGCTTTACTGTTGTTCGATTTAGATGAAATGCTCTCAATGAAAACGCTACAATATTACCAAACATTGCAATGAATGCAGATTTGACTGGCAGCACGAGGCACGCTTGGGGATTGACGCTAATCACTACTTCCCTCTGCAGAAAGAGATACGTCTGCACCCTCTTCTCCTGCATTGTTACCATTTGTTGTACCAGAATGAGAAATATCCCTCTTTTGGAGGACTGTGCCGACCACAATGCAAGTTTGATGTAGTTAATAAATAAATCTGTCAAATGCACGAGCAGAGTGTGTGGATCCACTTTCCTGCTGCTATGTGAGGCAGGAAAACCTAGACTGATGTGGTGTTCCCAAGAAGATATTGAGCTGCTCTTCTGTGCACCTATATGAGAAATACTGGCTGTGCATGTACTGTATGATAAGCAGGTTCACATGTATTATTCAAAGTATAGAGGTATTAATAGTAAAGGGATTTTAAATTGTACCTGACTGTGTTTTAGCATTAATGGGGAAGTAGGAATCACAAATACAAACAATTCACCTGCAGTGCTTTATGTCTATAATGGTACACTTAAGTATCAGTGAATGAGGAGAGTGATTCACCTCGTAAAGACACTCTCTGCAATTGATTCTATTGTAGAGTTACAATGCATGATTACATATAGGAGTGTTTTTTCAATGCAATGTAATGCAACTTAAATTTAAACCATTTCACCAAGTATGACGCAATAAAATGAGTTGAGATCGCTTTAACTCTAGCGTCATTTACATAGAGCTTTATCTTCCCATTACACTTATTATGAAACACCTAAAACGTCCCTGAATAAATAGTCAAAGGTTATGAAGTTTGGGTTGTAGAGGGCGAAATCAAAATGCAACACATAAACTGTTTTACCTTGTTGCCTTATTGTTCTTCAGCGTTCTTCAGGCTCAGGCTGTCAGCAGATACGATCTGTTGGAAAGAGAAGTTGTTGTAAGCTGTGGCATGATTAAAAGCAGCACAGAAGTCGCAAGTACAGTGATGGAAAGATGGTAAATCACCTTCCCTCGGGGAGCTGATTAAATTTTTGCCAAGAGATATTGCTGAATGTGTTGGGGAAAGTAGTATGAGACTCATTTTTTAGAGGTTAAATGCATCCAAACGATTCGAAGAAATCAGCACAATTTTATCAACACAATGAAATGTGGGATCACTGTGTCTGTACAAATCAGTGAATCAAACTGGTTTGAAGACATGCTCAAACCACCAACCTTTGGTCCTCTTTGTTTTATCATGTCATATAAAGAAATTAGGCCTGCACGATATATTGTTTGAGCATCGTCATCGCGATGTACATGTGTGCGATAGTCACATTGCAGAGCCTGCGATGTCGGAAGTGAATGAACTCAGTTAATTTCAAGGGTAACTGACTGAGATACACTGCATGTGACTCTGCATGAGCTGTGCAGTGATCCACCAATCACCTTCGTCCTTTACTCAGTTGCCAATCAGACTACTCTGCCAGCTGTCAATCAAAATCAGAGCGGAGGAAACCCACCCCTGCACATGTTCTGTACATGGAGTTAGTCGCTGGCTGCTGGTGTTGAGCCGAGAAACGCGTGTCCTTTCGGAACTTTACTCATGACTGTTAAGCCCAACAAATAAGAACTGTATGGGTTTTAAAATGTACATATCCGTGGACCACTCTACTATAAGCGGTGCGCGTTTTGCGAGGTGTATGCAATTCTTGGAGGACATGCGTTTCTCTGCACAACACCGCTAACAACAACAACAATGATTGCAAAATGAGCAACGAACAAGAGAAAACCACCAAAAATGAAGATTTGTTGCCAAAAAGAAAAGGAAAGTCAGTTATCTGGAATTATTTCGGTTAAAAGAAGGATGATGTCGACCAAAACACGTGTTCTGTGTTCATCTGTTGCCACAATAACATCCCAGCACAATAAAAGCTAAAAATATCTCTGAGACAGACAGAAGCCATTCTACTAACATTCACAAAAAGAGGGAAGATCAGAGCAGGTTAACTGTCCTCAAGACCTCAACGGTGCAGCATAACATTAAATGCTATTCGGGTCATCTGGTGAAAATTCCTATAGTTTTAATATTGCAATATATATCGCAGGGTTGAAAAAAATCGCAATATTAGTTTTTTCCAATATCGTGCAGCCTTAAAATAAAAATCATCTATTAATGTTCAATCATGTAGTCGGCTAACCATTAATGGGCTTATCCAATTAAATGCATTGTTGATGTAAACACCAGCCCATAATGGATCACTGGTCTACTCTCTCAAAAAATACAAACCCAGAAAGTTTCATTCAGCTGCACAGGAGTTTGTGGCGCTGCGTACATCACTTGAATGTCTTCCAGGATTAACTACTTAACATTGACTGTGATCGTCCCGGCCACATATCTCTCTCCGTCTCTCTCCAGAGACTCGGCAGCCACCCAGTCTGCCAACAAGGCAGTCAACCAGCCTCTAATACTCCAGCGTGTTTGGCTTAGTCCTAATCCCCCTTGGCTTACTTTAGCCATTATCCAGGCAGGGCTGCAGTTAACAGGCTATATTATGATCAACCAGAGCCATCCAGGGTCAAGAAGAATATGCAGTTATGGGAATTGACAGCTCTAAAGCTTTGCATTTTCTCTTAAGGAATGCAGGGCCCCTCCAGATCTTCACATTTTCCACCAAATTACTGACAAACATGAGAAGAAGGTGGAAATCAGAGACGTGTGTTTTGGCCTGACATTAAGAGGCACAATACCGCCTGTACACAGTTAAACCAGCCTTTGTATAATGTAATGAAGGTGTGGAATATTTCAATGGGGGGATTGTGGGGTTTGAAAGAGGATTGAGGTCTTAAGGTAGATTAAATGCAGCAGCAGGAGATGAATGTCTTCCTTCAGGGTCTGCATTTAGAGCGTGTCATGAACTGTGTATTGTGTTGGCATGCGATCACAGATGATTGAACAGACTCCTGCTCCTCCTACCAGTCCTAAGGCCCACTCACCTACTCTGTTCATGCTGCCCATGATTGTTAGCTTAATGATGATTGACTAGCCCCGACCTAACAGAACTTAAAACCAGATTTGCAGCCACTGTGTCACTATTAATCGCATCTTCATGAGTGGGAACTTTCTCTTAGCCGCTAATTATTCAGATTGCACAGATGAATCGTTCTTCTTTTGCATGCGGCGCTCAATGTTGATCTCTGTTTTTGTATCCTTTGCAGGGAACTGATGCCAAAGTCTGCAGACGGCCAGTTGACCATGGAGAAGACCCCCAGTTACTATGTCACCAAGGAAGTCCCAGCTCGGATCTACACCATGTCTAAAGACACAAAGCTGATTGTAGTTGTCCGGGATCCTGTCACCAGGGCTATCTCTGACTACACCCAGACTCGCTCCAAGAAGCCAGACATTCCTTCTTTCGAGTCCCTGACGTTCAAAAACATGTCAGCAGGTCTGATCGACACCACATGGAGCGCTGTTCAGATCGGCATGTATGCTAAGCACCTTGAGCGCTGGCTCCAGTACTTCCCCATGGAGCAGCTGTTGTTTGTTAGCGGCGAGCGTCTGATTAGCGACCCCGCAGGTGAGATGGCTCAAGTCCAGGACTTTCTCGGGCTCAGGAGGGTAGTCACGGAGAAGTATTTCCACTTTAACCCAGCTAAAGGCTTCCCATGCCTTAAGAGACCCGAGGGGAACAGCAAGCCGCACTGCCTGGGCAAAACCAAAGGCAGGACCCATCCTAATATTGACCCAGAGGTGGTGCAGAAGCTGAGGGACTTTTATAAACCCTTTAACAGCAAGTTTTACCACATGACAGGTCATGACTTTGGCTGGGATTAAGAGAAACCCAATGATGATGAACTTCAGGTCCTTCATCTGTGTTTTTTTTATAATTCTATCACTCTGGAGATATTGTTATACAGTGTATGTACAGTATTTGGTGGATGTGTAAAAATTCAGAAGTCTATTTTATGATAATTTATTGTTATGATATTAACTCACTAAGCTGCCTAACCAGGTTAACTCATGACCCGCTTCAGTCTTTTGGTTCCAGATTTAATTCTCATCAGGTACATGATCATTTTTCTAAAAAGCACAATATTTTTACGGGTATCTAGAGCTGGGTCGGTATCCTTTTTTTTCCCCCTAGTGGGACATTTTTATGGCTTCATTTGGATAAACAAATCTGCTTTCTTGACTTTTCCAAATGCCTCTTTTGCTTCACCTTAAACTGAATGAAATCCAACTTTGGTAATACCCCCTTAACATTTGCTTGACCCTCAGAGGTCTGTGGACCCACTTAGTCAGGTCGATACAGGCCTCAGCTGATCCAGTGCCACTCGCCAGGTGGATCAATACAGTAATAGCTCCTCATCATGTCAATTAGACCTGAGTGATGGCGCTACCGTGATCTCTTGAGCATTGCAATAAAACATAGATCCACTAATGGGAGTAAGTTTATGGTTGACCCTTAAGCCAACTTCAAGTTAATACAATAACACAAATTTCCAACTGCGATATTTCGGGCTTAACCGCCATTTATACCGTTTCTATAAAGGAATGTTGTTCGGAGTCCAGCAGAGAGTTCAGGCAGGAAATTTAAGGGATGATTTTATCTGCTTTCCAAAAACCTGCTGCTCTTGCTTCATAACACCGAATCAGTTATTTCTCTTCCCAAAAAGAACTCTTAGGGCTCCGTTTCCTTTATTGATTTATACTGAAGAGGCTTTCATGGATCATCCTCTGCAGCGTTTCTGAAAGAAAGGTGATAGTAGAAGTACGAATGAACCAGAAAAATCACCCAATCAAAAAGATAAAAAACCTTCCTCCAGACTTTTGTTTCTTCCTTACTTTGAGCCAAAAATGTCTCACTCAATTTTCACGATCGGTTGAGTTTTAATCAACCTTAACAAACAAGCATAGTCCGCATTTTAACAGGCGTCATTCCAAGATGATGTGCTGCAACCCCGCTGTTGTAGAGGCACTATTTTGCTGTATGCATCACTTAACAAACATGAAAATGAAGCAGGTGTGACTGAGAAGTTGAATAAAGATGCAGTCATGTTGTTTTTATGAAGTAAGAAATAAAAAAGTTTTACCAAAATCAGAAATTGTGTGTTTTTCTCTGCAAAGTGAAACACTATGAATCTTTGATATAAGTGTTTTTCTATAATGCTGAACTTCTCTCACTCTTCATATAGCACCCTCACCTCACCTATGTTGATACCTGGAGCCCTGCAGGCAAAGGTGTACTCCTGTGTCTAATTTACCATATTGCACATCAGCGTGCTAACGGGCTAATTAACTACTTTTGGCTGTCACAGCCTCCCTGCCCCTCGGTGCCACACATGAGGCCTAACTGAGCTCCGTTGCCATGACCTCAACAAACACACAACGTAGTGTCGGGTTTCTCATGTGGAGAGAGAGGAAACGTGAAAAACACAGATATTACTGTGAGGTGTCCCAGGGTGACACTTCACACTCAGCTGTATAAGGTGAGGACAGGTTTGGCAGCTGCTGCGAAAAAGGAGTTTAAATAGATGTTAAAATGAAGTACTTTTACACTTTGTGTCTGACCTGGATTTAAGGTCATCTTTATGAATCTATGCTGTAAAACTTTTTTCTGTAAATTTACAGTAAATTACTGGCTACTACTTTTACAGTGATTTAATGTACATATTTAACAGTAATTTACTTTCCCTTTACTGCTTTAACGGTAAAATTAAAAATTATATTAATAATTTGTGAATATTATAGTCAAAGCCTGTGAAGTGATATCACAGCAGTCTAATGTGAAATATTACAGTTAAATAATGTCAAATTCTGGTAATGATCCACAGGAGTAAAGTTCTCTGATTCTTTGAAAGTTAATCAGAGTTTAATCTGTTCTGCAAATTCTCAGAATAATAGATCTGAAAAAGAGTTAGCAATTTGGTTAAAGCTCGTATGAGATTTTTTTACATCCATGATATAAAATAAAATTCATACTGATGTCTTTTTATGATATGCAAAAGCAAATTAGACGATCAGTGACAGGATTGTGGATTTTTAAACTCTTATTTTCAATGTCTGAAACTGGTGCAAGGGGGTAGGTGTCAGCCTTACAGCCCTGTGTTCACAATTTTCGCATAAAATATTAACAATTACTGATGCATTTCACTGTTAAAAGTGAGATTTATGTTACAGGACTCTACATAAACATGTAAAAAACCGAGTGGGCAAGTCCTGACTCTAAAAATAAACTTGAAATTTCATTAAATCGCTCCAGATCAAGCCTACTTATTTTGATTTTAGAGTCAGCCAGGGTTTACTTTCCTCTGCAAAGTCTTAGAAGAATTAAAGTGTTTATAGAGTGATGCAAAATGAGTTATTCAACCTTAAAATGAGTCAGTTATTTGGTTAAAGCTCTTATGAAGACTTTTTTTTTTCAATTCATACTGAGGTCTTTTATGATATACAAAAGCAAACTAGAGAATCAGTGACAAGATTGTGGATTTTTTACTCTCTCATTTTCAATGCCTGTGTCAGCCTCACAGCTCTGTTTTTACCATTTTCGCATAAAAATATTCACAACAAATGGTGCATTTAACTGTTTAAAGTGAGATTTATGTCAAAGGACTCTACATAAACATGTAAAAAACAGAGCGGGCAAGTCCTGACTCTAAAAAAAATGTACTTACTTATCAGCTTAGTTATTATGAGTAAACAACATGGCGGATGGAGGGACAGTTGTCAGACTAAATGCTTCCAGCTGCTTAGCTACCTTATCAATTTAATGAGGAAGCATATATTTGGTCAACTCCTTTCATTAGTTTGATTGGGGTATGGCTCAAAGTACACGTTGTAATAACACTCATTTTATTGCCTCAAATTAGAAGGTTGATCATCTATTTTTAATGCTCATCCAACTTCAGGCTCCTTCTTTAATCTCGCTGCCATGGCTGCATCTGTTGTGCTTCCTCTTTTAGTTAACTTGCATCCAGATTGGCAATAGTTTATTCCATGTGACAATCCGCTTAGTGTTCAGCTGTCCTCAGAGGATATAGTCAATGTGGAAAATTTTTAATACTCATGATGTCGAATAGTTGTAGCCACAGTGAAAACACAGTTGATGCTCCTCTGGCAAGATAATCATCAGAACCACCAAAAATGTAGAACTTTTGGGGAAAATATGGCTGAAAATCTGTTTTCCTCTTTCAGTTTGTGCTCCACTTTGCACAAGCTTTAAAGGTTTTCCAATTTCGTCAAACAAAAAAATCTTTTAATTAACAACTTAAGGGTCTGGTGTCCTGGAAAAAAGGTTAGCTTTTTCCATGTGCAGATGGAGGAACTTCCTGGTTTGCCAACAGACATATGTCAACCACTTTTTAGTAGGCACCACAGGTTGTGTGCGCACCGGCCCTGAGCAACCTGCACCATCCATCATTCATCTCAGCAAAGGTTATGGTTCAAGCCAGTTATGAATCATCCCGCTCTATTAACTAACAACCTTTATTTAACTCTGCAGCCAAACGCCCTCATTTACCTGGGGCTGCTAGAGGTGATGAAGCCGGTCTCCCTGGTGGCAGGCTAGCAGTCTGATCACTCAGGAAGCAGCTCCCTTAGCAATTACAGGGATAGAGGAGGGGTGCTGTAATTGCTAGGCTCCCGACAGGGGAATTGCTGTTAGCGCACATCCCTGCAGGCTGTTGTAAGGGAGGTAGCTGTTGTTTGAAGGTTAAGAAGACAAGGAAAATAGACACCTGGCAGCCCAAAGCATCAAGCGACTTCACACATCCACTTGGCAGCTATCACAAGGGAATAAAATCAGAGCTGCTGCATGAAAGTGAAACAAAATAAAACATCATACATCTGCAGCTTGTTTGGTTTGGGGAGCAACTGCACAGACTGGGAAGTTTAGGGGCTGGCAGGAGGATGAACTGTGGCCTCATTACAATGTCAACGAAAAAAGGGCTGTACTCGGCCCAAATGTCACTCATGCAAAACGAGTCAAAAGAGTTTAATTCCTACAGAAGGTGTTGTCATGAACTCCAAACATTCACTTTATTTACATTTGACAACTACTGCTGTCATGAGAATCACTCTTAGAGCTTTGCTGTGATTGTGACATGAACAGACAGCAGCATGAAGGGTAAGAGATACACCTTTCTCACTGATATGTGCGGTTATTTGATCCTGTTTTAATCAACATACATGATCGGTTTGGTCCAAAACTGCCACCATAGCAAACTCAACGAAGCTTAGATTAATAGATTGTGATTGGTCTGGTATATCTGCACGATATTACAAAAAAATTACTGCAATTTTTTTCAACCCTGCGATATATATAGCAATATAAAAAATACAGGAATTTTCACCAGATGACCCGAATAGCACTTTATGCAACGCTGCACTGATGAAATCTTGAGGACAGTTAACCTGCACTGATCTTCCCTCTTTTTGTGAGTGTTAGTTGAATGGCTTCTGTCTGTCTTAGAGATATTTTTAGCTTATTTTTATTGTGTTATTGTGGCAACAGGTGAAAGGCACTGCCATACAGAACACATTTGGTCGACATCATCCTTCTAACCAAAATAATTTCAGATAACTAACCTTGCTTTGCTTTGCTTTTTGGTTTTCTCTTGTTCGTTGCTAATTTTGCAATCGTTTTTGCTGTTTGCTGAGAAACACATGCATGCCCAGGATTGCATGCACCTCGCAAAATGCGCACCGCCTATAGTAGAGTGGTCCACGGAAATGTATAATTTATAACCCGTACAATTCTTATTTGTCGGGCTAAACAGTGATGAGAAATGTTCCGAAAGTAATTCTCGGTGGGTATGCATTTCTCGGCACAACACCGGCAGCAGTAACTCAGCTCATGTGCAGGCCTCCTCTCTGATTTTGATTGACAGCTGGCAGAGTACTCTGATTGGCAACTGAGAAAAGAACACATGTGATTGGTGGATCGCTGCTAGGGTTGGGCATCGAGTCTCAGGCATTGAAGGGGTTTGGGACTAACATTCCGATTCTCCCGGAACGATTCAAATTTTAAATTTCGATTCCAAGTTTTGTTGCCGGAGTCCACCAACTGGAGGAAATAGCCGTCAAACGCCAACAAGGAAGACGCTGCTAAACACTGACAAAGAAGAAACCATTGAACACCAACGAGGACTAAGCCACATGGAGAGAGAAGAGAGACAGAGAGAGAAAGTGCATTGCAACCCACAATGGCTGCGGTCAAAAGTTTGACTAACTTTAGCAGGAAGAATGAACTCTTATCTCAGTGCATCGGAACCGGAATCGTTAAAAATCAAACGATACCCCACTCTAATCGCTGCACAGCACATGCAGAGTCACATGGTGTGTATGTCAGTTAGCTACCCTTGAAATTAGATTAGTTCATTCACCTCCTACATCGCAGGCTCTGCAATGTGACTATCGCGCACACGTACATCGCAATGACGATGCTTAAACAATATATCGTGCAACCCTAATCTGTCACCGTAGGAAAAGGTAGTCCCTAATCTACATGCCGAAGATAGCCGCTCAGATAATGCAGTTGAAACTTATACTTTCACATACTGGGCTGAAGTGTTAAGTTTCACAGATGAAGATGTACGAGACAGAGAATAATCCAAGTTTTCTTTCACTCTATAGGCGTCGTTTAAACTTTTCACCCACATCAGCATCCTTTAAGAAGCAGGTTTTACTCTTTGTGTTTGAATCTTCTGAGCCTTTCGCCAAACACTTCTGCGTGAACCGAGCTCCGAGCTCACTCATTTTTAGTGCGACCTTGCTCGACACCGGGGTTCAGCGGGGGATGACAGCAGAACAGGATGTGAAGACTGTTTTTAGAGATGTGTTCAGTTTGTTCTAAAAACTCAGCGGAAATCAACCTTTCTTTCGAGACCCTAAAGTGGATCATTAAAGTTGAAGATGGTTGAAGAATAGCAACTGTTGGTTGAGTCATCAGAGTACAGTTTTGAGGCGCTTGAAGCCTCTTTGAAGACATGACTTATTTATGATTAACCGCAGCTGAAGTCAGGGCAGAAGTTTCATCTCTGAAGTCATCGGAGCACATGAGAAAGGAGCCGATCATCGCCATTATTACATACACTTTGTTTTATAGGTTAATAAGACAATTGCCTTCCTTTTCTAGCCCTTAATCTTTTCCTCTGCATTGTCCAAACCCTAATCCTAATCCGATAGGAAGGGCAAGCATTAATCTGAGACAGTAGTCTTGGAGCTGACATATATGTGCTGACATAGCTAATCCAAATCTAATCCCTCTTCCAAGAGGGCTTCTTAGCGTCGTGTGGGACCAACTTGATTTACGTAACTTCAGATACAACACGAGTGAGGATGTACTTCAGGAGATGAGGCAGATGTTTTTCTAAATTACTAATTTGTGCTCAACACACCCACACCTCAGGCTTGTCAGGTCAGATCTAAGTGCTGCATTTGCTGCTGTCAGACTCTGAAGTACCGCTACAGAACATCAGCCCCATCTTCTTCATTGGCAGGGTTTAGGGATGTGAACGCTCCGTAACATCTGAAAACAACTTGTCAAAACACATGGCGTAACTAAACATTTCTCGACACGTTGTCCTGGAAATAATGAGGCAGGCATCTGTTCAGACGCAACAGAGCTTTTCATGTCCAAATGTTGTTTAGTGCGACTTAACAAAAATGATTGTTTTGTTCTCATATGGATATCATTGCCTCAGGGCGAAGCGTATGAAAAAGAACAACTCTGCACAGAGCTGAATTTTCATAATGTGTCATATGGGCTTAAAGTGTTTATTCAACAGTTGTGAATTTGAACCAGTAGGAAGGAGGAGTAATCCCTCTGTGATAACGCCATCAGAGCGCTTAGTGCCGCACGCTGTAACAGAGCGGGATAACTGTGCCGATGCATATAGGTTAGACTACGAGCGGAGAGACACATTTGGGTCAACATAACAGTTAAAATAAAATATTAAAAGTTTGACCACATAATGTTATCTCAAACACACAAAAGAGCAGTGTTTGTCAAGTACAAACATGTCAACACACTTCAACAAACATCTGTGATTGTAAAAGAGTCTCAAACTGGTTTTATTCCACTCATGTTCACAGTCTCCTTGATCTGTGGCTTATTTTTAGCTCAATACAGGCTGAAACAGATGGGTAACAAGTCATCAGACCTCCCTTTAATCACATTTTTGATTAAGTAATTGCTTTGACTCTAATTAGCCTTCGTGCATTAGCATAGCTCCGGTGCTGTTGGTGTTATAACACAACATGAAGTCGTTCTCATCTTCGTCTTTCTGGGGGAATTTTGTTTGGGCGCTAAGAGGAAAAAGAAAACCTTTGTTCTCAGTCTTTAAACTATTAACCTTATGTGAAACAGCTGATTTTAATGCTCCCCAGTATTCTTAGAGAGTCTGGTTTTCAGGCTTTAGATTTCACATATGGCACTCCACATGGCTGTCATTTAAGCTTTGAAGCTGCTCAGGTTCATCCTTTATTCATTATTTTCCAACTTTTGTCTTTATTTCCTCACATTTTGTGAAGTCAGTCCACTTTGCTAAGGGGGACACACTTAGATGTGTGATATTGCAAAGACCAGAAGTTGCATCATCTCTAGCGAAATCCATGTGTTGTAACCAGAGAGTCCCAGAAGGAAAGGGATGGAGGACCAAGTGCCTCCTAACCAATACAGGCAGTTTCCTTCTTAATGTTCATTCTGTGGTCTCTCAGCACTATTTGTTGCAGTCGCCCGCCTGCCTGGTACCACTTTGGACCCTCCATTAGGCCAGACCAGTCCCCTCTGTATCCCAAAGGCATGCCTTGATAATGATTTTATCACTTAGCCATTTCAGGTTTTGGAACTGTAGCACAAAACCACTATAAGCTTCATTTTTTTCTTATTTCCTTTAAATCAAATCACTAATCTGTATGAGTTGCTGCGACCCCACCCAGCTCAGACACAACCATGCTTTTCCGGTCTTTATCCTGCTTTCTCTGTAATGAGGTGTCTCTAACCCCCTACTCTCTATGCACCAATGTCACCTTCATAATCCAAGACTTGGGCTTTTAGAGGAGTGGGATATGCAGGACCCTCACTGGGATTACAGGCTGAACTGTCTGCAGAGTGGTCTGTCGTCTGTCTGCAACACAGCGGAGAGGCCGTGCAGGAGGATCTTTGCCCTTTAGCTGGTGCTAATCTGGAGTGGAGGGCAGAGCGCCGTCTGAGCTGTCCTCAGGGCCAGACGGTTACATTTATCTGTACATATGTGTGTGTCAGTGATAAGGATATTTTTAAAATGAAGCTTCTTGAGTTCAGGACGTCTCCTTCTGGACATAGCAGAGACAAGTGGTGCTCTATCTAATAAATGATGAAGGGGAACATATTTTATTATGGATTAAAAAAAAAAAAGGTGGATAGCTGGAGTTCGTGACTCAAGGACTTGTTGCCTTCTAACAGAGATCTTACAATGAAAATTAACCAGGGACAATTACACGTTTGCCATCAGCATCAGAGAAACACTTCACTCTGGCATCATCGTGAGGCTTTGGGGGATTTAATCTGATTTTGCAATTAATTGGTTCGTTAAACTTCTGCTCCTGGGATTAAACCAAAATTAAAGCAATGGCGCAAGAAATTTCCCCAGACGGCCCCTCCAACAAACTCTGTTTATCTGCCATCCATACAAACACATCACTTATCTCTCCTCTGGTGTTTTGGACTCCTGCTTGTTTTTCTATAGGCCTCGAGTTTGAGACAGGCACAAGTCAAGACAAAAACAACCTCTTTGAATATGTTTGTCATATTATGACTGTCAAAAGGAAAGACAAATTGACCCATCAACATTGTTATATGCTGCTGCCAGCTGCTTTACTAGGGTGACCATATTCTGAATCCCCAAAAAGACTACAACGCAGGGTTTTGAGGGTTTTGAGGGTCGGGTGTTTTTTACGTGCTTCTAACTCGGTTAGTCCACGCTACACAAACTCAAAATTTCCACACAAAACCCCTGACATTTGAAGGATTTTATGTGCCGGTAAAAGAGGATGTATGGTCAACCTAGCTTCACACTGTTGTGATATACACTGATGTGTTTCCTTACTGACTTCGATGGAAATCTGCTCGTTTTTAGTAACTGCCTGTACGTCAGGATGCAGGTCTCAGTTACTTTGCGCTGGTTTCAAGTAATACAACCAAATTTCTTAGCAGTTGCTAGCGTCACTTTAGCCACGATTACATGTGCAAAATTTCTTAATCCAATTAAAAATCTGAATCCACTGTTTATATTGGTGCAAAATCAAATAATCCGATCATAATGTACGTATGCATGCACCAAGCTTTATTCAGATAAGAGGCATTTGGACATGCACAGAGTTCTCTAAAACAACCACAGAAGAAGAGTTGTATTAACACCTGTGCTGTCAACAAACCAACAATCGCGGTATTGTCTCACGTAATCCGGTTCAGGATTTTTCCCTCCACTCAGGTTGTATTGCTCCTAGCGTACATGATCATCAAGCGGGCCCAGCAGAACATACTGATCCAGGAAGAAAGTTGCGTCAGACACAGACCAATACTCTTGGCTCTCGCCATGTTTACGTCTTGTCACTTTGACGCAAAGTGTTTACATGGACGCATTTCAGAATAATGATCGGCAGAAACCACCCCTCTATACCCCAACAGAATTTCTTTTCATTTGAGCCGAATTGGATCAGAATCTTCTAATCGTGAGGCAGTGTAATTTCACGGCAGCGTTGCTAAAGTGCGAAAGTCGCAGCAGGAGCTCCACACACATACAGTACAGGGGTCTGTTCTCCCTCTACCACTTCCACTGCAGCATGTTGTTACAGTCTTTTCCCATTACGCCTCTGTTGCTACCTGTGGTGATGAATCAGAGCAGAACTACTTCACCCCAGTCCACCACTTCAACAGTACACTGAGTCCAATTGTAAACATAGCTGTTTACATTGTTTGTATGACTACTCATTTAACAATGATGTTTTTACACATGTGATAAATTGATTCCAAGAAAGACACAAATCCACTTCCACATCTCAGATTTCACTTCTTTTAAAGCTGCTGGATCTTGCCTGAAGTGAATGAGATCTGTCCTTGATCTCCCTCCCTGAGCTGTCCTCGGATGGAAAGCAGTGAACATCAAGGTCCTGATTCGTCATGGGCCCTATTGAGTAGAATTCCTTGTGTTGCCATGGTATCAGGGGAGCGCTGTCACTCATTGTCACCCAGATGACAAGCTCTCATTCCTTTTTTCCGTGACTATGTTTGCTCTTTTCTGAGAAATTGCTACTCCGACTTGATTCAAGCGGAGGAGCACAACATGTCAGATGATTTGAGAGGAACACAGATGCTGATGGTTCATTTGCATCCTACCAAACAAACTCTAATCATTAATTTATCCAAACAGTGGATGTGCCAAAGAATGCATCTCAGGGATCCACCAAACTACCAGAAACCTTCTCGAGCATCCTCCCACTCTTCCTCCTCCTTACTTCCACATCCAAGCCTGTTCTGCATCGAACCACATCTGAAAGCCTCGGCAATTATCCTGTAATTCATTCAAAACCTGACTCTCAGCTGCTTTCTCTCTTTGATGACTTATATTAAGTCAAATTAGGAGACAACAAGCTGAACCCCAAAGCCCGCTTTTTCCATTCTGTGGGTGTACACCAGCTGGTCGAAGTTAGTCGGAGGGACTGTTTTAGATGCTCTTCTGATCTTCTCGCTTTTCTTCCTTGCAGAAGCTGCTCTGGTGCGGCTTTTTTTCCCCCTAACAGTCACTGACACAACACGTATAAAAGCTCTGCTTCTCCTCCAGGAATCATTAACACTTCCAGGGGACTGCTGAGCTGTAATTTTCCTGCACAAAAATGAGAAATAGACTCCACATCACCTTCCTAAGTGTGTGTGCTTCCACTGCCCACTGTCTAGTGGCCTCTGCAGCAGATATGAACAGTTATTATTTGGGCTGGCTGCTGGACCAGGACCCATCAGAGGGAGATTGGAAGTCAGACACTGAAACATCCAGTTAAACAAAAACTAAAATAAAGAGATGAAATTCTGGCGTAAAATTAAGTTAGGGTCAAACATGCTGTAACACTGAGTTAGACACCCCCTCGAGAGACGAATGTTGCCGACCGCTTGCTTCTCTAGTTATACCAACTTTAGTAACGACCGCACAATAGCAATACACAGCGGTCTAAGGAGCCACGCACTCAGCCAAAACGCCACTCTATAGCCACAAATAATGCTCAGAACAGCACCTAACTTCATCAACAGTACATAAAGGGTCCCAGCCATAGTACTAGCCACCACACATTTATTTAGCTTTGCCTGATTTCATTAGCAAAGACACTAAAAACAACTCACCTACTCACTTCCAGCAGCCGCTTGCTCGTACGGAGATCTCAGACGAGTCCATTACCGCAGCAGGGTGATGCAGCTCAAGGAAGAACATAAACATAAATGTTCTTCCTTGAGCTGCGTCATGCCACGAGGGAAAAGGACAAAGCTAAAGCTAAGCTAAAAAGCTGTTTGGTGGCTGGAGCTATGGCTGGGTGTGTTTGACCCTTTCAGTACAAAAACAAAACCCCAGACTGAGTGGAGCATAGATGTAAGGACGCTACCAACTTTATTTGACGTAGGAAGTCATTGGTATTGTTGCGTTGGCGATACTTCTCCATGCTGTGCTCAAAAACCTCAGGCAATGGTTGCATAGGGCCCATGGAGCCAAACAAGAACAGGCCAAGCATGGGTATCATTCCCAATGAGGTTAGGGTGCCTTGTGGTTACAAAACATGAGGAAAAAACCTCTTAAGACGTCTGAAAACGTCTCACTTCGCAGTGTCTACCCAGGCAAAGACAAAAGACACAATCCTATGAATACACAATGATCCTTCCAATTATGTTCACAAAACTCAGAGTTCACTGCTGAGTCAATTGATTTGCACTATAGTGGCAGTTTTTGAGAAGGACACACAACTCAGTGTTCACCTACTTCTAAAATATGATCTATATTTCTTCACAAGTTTCTGAAAACGAAACTAAAATAACTTAAAATCAAACAGATTCAATAAGAAGATCAAATCTGAGCTAAACGTCTTTTTAAAGCAACAACATCCTTTTTCCTGAGAAGCCTGTTGCAGTATAGAATTAATTTCAGACATTACACAAGAGAGACATTTATCCAGGTCATCCGGTCCGTCTATAGGGCAGGAACCGTCTCCGCTCTGTTCTTCTTCTTCACACATCACCTCCTATTTAACATTTTATTGAGTGAGTGTTGTATTTACGTCACCAGCTGAGTGCGGCTGAGCTACTTTGAAAAGGTGAGGCTCCAGACCCATCAAGGTTGGTTTCCATCAAATCCTTCAAATCCAGTTTAACAGCTATCTTCTAAACACACATACTAAGCACTTTCTTCTTACCTGTCTACAGCTGCATGAGAAGTTATGGACAGTTACGTTGAAAAATTTGGCTTTGAGAAAGAAGATAACAGAATGGCTTAATTTGGTTTGATTATTTTCTTTAGTTCTCTGAACCTAATTTTAGGGTAAAGTGTATTTTAGTGTCTAAAACTTGTCCAGGACACAAATAGAGTATCTGGAATATGCAAAGGGCCACTTAAAAATAAAAATATGGCATTTCTAGGCAACTAATACTTAATCGGTATGTTTTGCTTGTTCATAATGACAGAAATAAGCCATTCAGGGTGTCCTTGTCCTTAACCTAGATTTGTGCTGCAACCCAGACTCCATAGTGATGTTATCCTGCAAAAACCTTTCAATAACATTCAATGCAAACTGTCTAAATATGTTCCTGTCCAAGGAGAAAACCACGCCAAGACACCTGGGTGAAAACTGACATAGATAGCATCTCTGTGAGGTATCATGACTTCAGATTGAATCCTTTCTTAATGTGGAATATTTCTGCGTTAGATTATGAGCTTGATGCATTTACAGAGTGACCACTTTTCTGCAGGAAGACAGCATGGAAAAGTTTAATAACAGTTAAAACTGGATTTAAGTCCAAGGATATTTCTTTACCTCATATACAAAGATGTTTTACAGGGCAGATTTGCAGACAACCACCCGCTCTATATCCCGCTCCCTGTCCGGCTCAGCCTCCCCCCTGACTGTGGGAGGTAAAATAACGTGGGTGTGTTCAGCTTTTTAACTCATGTCCTCATTGCTTAAACACACACGCAGGCAGACACACACGCGCATGCACAATTTTCAAGTGGATGTCATCCCACATTTACAGCGCAGGGACATTATCCCCGCTACATCCTCTTATTAACTCCACACAGTTAAACACTTTGTGTTCCTCTCTGGTCACTTGGCAAGGCATTTTCCGCCAACCACTGACCCATGGCTCAGAGAACAAGTAGGTGCTCTATATTCGAGGAGACAAGGCTGACTAATTCAATTATCTCTGCTGTAATACAGTCACCAATGCTATTGTTGTAATAGCTGTGTTAGATTACAAGCTTGGGTTACATGTGGTTACTTTTACTTATAATTATCCTAATTTGTTTTTCATGAATTTAAACTTTCAGGGATTTTTTTAAAGTAGTGATGAAAAGGACTGAAATGGAAACGAATTCCTCAATATGACCTTCAAAAGGAATCCAGGCCATCAGCCAGGGTATCATTTATTTTTATTACGCGGCTTTCTTACTTGTTGGATCTTCTTGTTGCATGTTCTTCCTTGAGCTGCGTCTCCCCGCTGCAGTCAATGATGGACCGGCCCGAGGTCTCGCTACAAACAAGCCGCTGCTGGAAGAGAGTAGGTGAGTTGTGTTTAGTCTCTTTGCTAAAGAAATCAGGCAAAGTTAAAAAGATGTTTGGTGGCGAGTACTATGGCTGGGACCCTATATATACTGTTGATGAAGTTAGGTGCTGTTCTGAGCATTATTTGTGGCTATAGAGTGGCGTTTTAGTTGAGGCTTGTTTAAAGCTCCTCAGACCGCTGTGTATCGCCATCCTGCGGTCATTACTAAAGTTGGTGTAACTAGAAAAGCAAGCGGTCGGCAACATTCATCTCTGGAGGGGGTGTCTAATTCGGTGTTACCGTGTTTGATCTAGGACTGAGTGATTTGGCAAAAAAAATCTCGATTATTATTAACTGCCAGTTTTAATGCATCTGTACTAAAGAAAAGCTAAAGAAACTAGAGATAAGTTCAACATTTTATTAACATACAAAGTAAATTACAAAGCAAATTTAATAAGATAAACATAAAAAAATTATATAAAAATCATTTTTACTCAACAATACAACTAATGTAGATAAATACTAAATAATACAGTGAACTAGTTTACAGTCCTCAGTGTTTTTGCAGGTATGTAGACCCAAAATAAACATTCCCTCAGTTATAATCGATCACAATCATATAATCGCCCAGTCCTTGTTTGATTTTACGCCGGAATATCCCTTAAACTCTCATCAGTAAAAGCGACGCAAGAGTCAACCTGATCAGACTCATCTCAAATCAGTCTGTGGAGCTGAGTCTTGAGCGATTCACCTCTGCCTGTTGACACTGTGGCAAAAAGCTCATTTCTGTTAGCGTTCACACATAGTAAGACACTCTTCATTACAGATAGTGGGGAAAAAAAGGTGTTTTTCACACCTAAAGCATCCAGATGGGGTGATGCACACGTCCTCTTGATGAGTGTATTTTTGTCTCGAGCTGTAAAGCAGACAGAGGATGCTCTGAGGGCTTTTCAGGTGAGTTTTCTTTGTTACCACAACTCAGATTTCAGTATCCAAAGATAACATATTTGTATGCACAGACTGGATATTAACGACACGTCTATCTTCCAGATGGCCTTAAAAAGTTGAGGTTTCTTCAGAACTAACTTTAGGGAGACGTTCCTGTATTTACTTTGTCTTTTCCCCTCCACTTTAACACTGACCAGGACAGACAGTTTGATATATTGATGGATGGGTCTGCATTAGAAGTACGATTAAAAAAAAAATGTTTCCATACAGTTGAGACGGATGAAAAGTCTACACTGACTGCTGTGGTTAAAAAAAAAAACGTGGACCTGTTTTAACATTCATTTTCTCCTGAACTTGTTTGCATGTACATCCCCTGTTTACTGTGGTCTGGCTTCAGCTTTCACTCGCTCCGTACTATAAATTCCTGGTAAACTGCTCTCTAGCAGTATGATAGTTATTAATCTGGTATTTTGCAAATTCTTTCCCCATGTTTTTTCACTCTCTAACATTTTGCCTGCAGGGTGACATTTTTCTATCCTTGCTCTCCAACCAGAAGAAAACAGGCTGTTATCCCCGCAGAGCCGCGCGCTGGCGTCTCTCACATTGGGTCTGTCAGCGCCGTGTGACTGTTTAGGAGCAGAGTTAGAGGGGTAAGGATGAACACACGTGCACGCGCCTGATTATGTGCGCGTTTGTGTGTTAAGAGGAGGGGAACGTATCCGCATGAATGAGAGGCCCAGATTCCACATTAATCAGAAACAAATCATGGCAAACCGCAGGATCAAAGACCTGTCAGCTTTAAAGATGGCTTCATGCCCTGCAAGAACTTTTGAAAAATCACTTTTAGCTCATCAAGAACTCAGCTTCCACCCAGAGACAGCCTGACTTTAGCTAAGAAGCTTCAGAGGAGCTTGGTTCCTTTCAAAGGGCTTCCTCTCCCTCTTCTTCTCTCGTCTCATTACTTCTCTCTCTGCAAATAATGAACAGACTGAAATAAAGCTCAATATCTGACCTACATTATACAAGCCTGGTCCGAAGCAATTAATCTTTTGAAAGCTTCTTAAGACAGGAAGCAAGTGCACTCCACCAATTTCTTAATTTAAATTGAAGGCAGTGTAATAGCTGACATGGCTGTACTTCCCTCATCCTCGCCTGTGCTGCTCGCCGGTTATTACAGCAATGAAGACAATTTCATGTAAGTTCAGGAGCGGCTCAGGGTTCACAGAGGACGTTGTGTGAGCTTGTTGAAATATAAAAAAGGGAGAAAGACGACTATTTAAAGGACAAAATCAGAGGTGGATTCATTGATTTACGCTCAGAGGGGAGAGTGGGGTAAGATGAGCCATTTTTCATATTTCAGATCACTACATCAAGTCAATCATAGTTTTGTCTCTAACTAGTGTATCTGCATGAATTTTAAGATGTTGTGCATCCCTGCAAATCAACAGAATGAGTGTAAACATAACTGTCTTGATAATATAACATGCCAAAAAAAAGTGGTCTCCTATGATCAACTTACTCCGTGTATAGGGTAAAGTTGGGAGCGGAGTAAGTTGACCAACAAGTTCTTTGACCATTTCCGAGCAACTGGGGGTAGCTCAACTTACCCCACTCTCCCCTACTCAGGGAGGAGAGGAAAATGGTAAAAATCGTCCGCCTTCTTAAACGGTCATCCCAGCTTTCTATCATTTTTATGTGGAAATATTACCACCATTTCAACGGACGCAGCGTCCTCACTGACTGCGGGCGGCGCATGGAGCCAAACGCGCGCACACACCAAATTACGCGCCAAACATTTCCCCTTCCTGCCAGCGTCGCTAATCACCCACCAAACAGCGATACTTTTCCTTCTCCTTCTCCATTATCTGTTGCAAAGGGTGACCAAGGGTTTCACAATTGGAGCCCTACCGGCTGACTTAAACGTACATTCACATAAACATTCATTTCTCTACTTACTTCCCGGGTGTCCATTGACGCCATCATGCCGGCTCAGGTATCCAAACGAGGAAACAGAGCGCGTGATTTCCCGTATGTAAAATAGGCGGGTACGGCGGGTCAAAGTGGTCATATGATGTAAGAAAAATTAATTCCCCAAAAATGAATGCTCCATTGATTTATTGTGTAAAAACTTTGTTAAAATGGTAAAAACTTAGTTAAAATTGTCTGAAGGTTAAAAATGGTAAAAATTGTTTAAATTATTTTTTTTATTTTTATTTTTTTCCCTCAAAACGATTTGATTAATGACGCCCACTGGGAGGGGCTGGGGGACTTAAAAAAAGACTGCCTGAGCCTTTCTTTCAGTATGGAGTTTGTTGCATGGAAGGTAAGTGCCAAACTGACTTTTGTATCGCTGCTGTTTCTCTCTCTCTCTCTTTTTTTTTTTATCTTGAGTGAGAATCTAGAGTCATTGTGGAACTCCTGCCTTGTTGGTGTTTTCTTTTTTTCCTTGTACATTTTGTAAATGGAATTTGACCATATTCTGAATCCCCAAAAGGAGGACACAACTACACGGGGGCGGAGTCACAGAGTCACAAATAGTTAATTTTGAGAGTTTTTGGGGTCGGATCAAGTGTTTACGCTAACTCAGTAACTTTTATTTCTAACTCAGTAAGTCCACGCAACACGAACTCAAAACTTCCATACAAAACCCTGGACATTTGAAGGATTTTACAAACTACCCTGGACAAAGCCAGACAAGGGCCGGACATGGCCAAATGACATGGACAGCTAGATCCAAGGGATAATATAATTTGTTAAAAATAATTATTATTTTTGTGCTTTAGCAACAATAAAATGGGTTCACAGTTGGTTTCCCACCATGCGC